AGCACTATGGCCGGCCCGACATGGGGAACGGGCGCCTTGGGGGAATGGGGGCGGAAGAGTGGGGGGTGGGGAGGGTGGGCGGGGGGGGGGGGGGGGGGGAGGTTGAAACGTGAATGTATTGTAAGAAGACCCACCCAATGTTTGGCATAGCACGTGGAAGGTACGGGCTGAGCGCAGGAACGGGGTGGTAAGGGAAGGGAGAGTAGGTGGGAAGGTGGAGGGTGAGGGGGCACAAAGACCCACGATGCTGCATCTGAGAACAAGGGAACATTGGGGTTGAGTGTTGGTAGGGCCATAGTTACTACAAACGCTTGCGTTATAAATTTTACCGCCGCTCGGGCAAGCGTCTGTGTAGTGTTCACATGCACACAGCCAAGCGTGTAGCATTCAAACGCAATCGTTGAAACGCTTGCGTTCAAACGCCAAACGCGTAGGTAGCAACAAAGGGTAGAAGGTGAGGGAAGGTTTTGGGGGGCGGAGAGGGAAGGGGGAGTATGCGGGCTGAATCTAACATAGGAGACGTACCGCGGTTGGCGTGACAAGGCCTTGATGAATGTCCTGGGGTTCAGCCATGCCAACTGGGCCAAAGCTGGGCGCCACTTGGGTCCAAACCTCTGCCGTGCCCCTCGCGGAGCTGGGTGGACGCTGGCGGAGCGATCGGTTCTCGTTCTCGATCTCCTTCAAGCGGCGCTGGAGCTCCCGGTTTGCCTGCTGCTGGCGCTCCAGCTCCGTCGATGCGCCGTTCCCAGCAACGCCGTAGTCATGCTCCGGTTCGGTGTTGAAGATGAGATCGCCCCCGTCGTTGACCGAGTACTCATGTGTCTCCTCCAGCACCACTGAGTCGAAAGCAAGGACACCTGTTGGGGAGGGCTGGCCGCCAGTAGTCAATCCTGCAGCCGGGGACATAATGGCGGGTGAACCTATATAAGTGGCAATGAAACATGAAACAAGGGAGGTGTATGGCATGGACGCAAACAGCATAGAAACCAAGAATGGATGCCGAAACAGAGTATAGCCCGTATAAAAGGTCACTGCGAGGAGAAAAACTCAGACGCGCACCAAGAAATGCCCGCCCGTAAAGGGCAAGAGAGCGTGACAAGTCTGGGTGCTGGCACTTACCATGGCATTGAGACACAAAGCGTCTTGACACATCACGCGGCTGCTGATTGTTTGGAGATGTGGCGCCCCCGGGCGGAACTGGTGGGGAAGACGCGTTCATGGGGGGGTGACTGAAGGGAGTAGAGGCGCTACGATCCCGGTGTTGATAGGGACGAGAGGCGTTTGTGTGCACGTTAGGGTGGGGAGCCATGGAGTGGGGGTGAGGCAAAGGCACGTGAGGGTGCAGTTGTGGGATGTGAGAATTGGCGTTATGGTGCTGTGGAGGGTTAGAGGATAATGTAGTGAAATGCAGCTGTGGATTAGGGGAGAAATCATACGAGTGCAGGTGAGGTGGAGCAGAAGAGGCGTCCAGGTGCTCCAGAGTGTGAGCAGAGGGGGTGTGCAGGTGATGCTGAGGGGGAGAAGAAGAGGCGGCCAGGTGCGGCTGAGGGGGGAGAGAGGATGCATTCAGATGCTGCTGATGGGGAATAGAGGAGGCGGGCAGGTGCTGCTGCAGGGGAGCAGAGGAGGCATGCAGGTGCTGTTGAGGGGGAGAAAAGGAGGCGTGCAGGTGCTGCTGAGGGGGAGCAGAGGAGGCGTGCGGGTGCTGCTGAGGGGGGAGAGAAGATGCATTCATATGCTGCTCAAGGGGATGAGAGGAGGCGGGCAGGTGCTGTTGAGGGGGAGCAGAGGAGGCGTTCAAAGAAAGCTGCTGAGAGGGAGCGGAGGAGGCATGCACTTCCTGCTGAGAGGGGAGAGAGGAGGCGTGCAGGTGCTGCTGAGGGGGGGGAGAGGATGCGTTCGGATGCTGCTGAGGGGGAGGAGAGGAGGCGTGCAGTTGCTGCTGCGGGGGAGCAGAGGAGGTGTGCAAGTGCTGCTGAGGGGGAGCAGAGGAGGCGAGCAGGTGTTGCTGAGGGGGAGCAGAGGAGTTGTGCAGGTGCTGCTGAGGGGGAGCAGAGGAGACATGCAGGTGCTGCTGAGGGGGGAGGGAGGATGCGTTCAGCTGCTGATGAGGGGGAGTGGAGGAGGCGTGCAGGTGCTGCTGAGGGGAAGCAGAGGAGGCGTGCAGATGCTGCTGAGGGGGAGCAGAGGAGGTGTGCAGGTGCTGCTGAGGGGGGAGAGAGGATGCGTTCAGATTATGCTGAGGGGGATGAGAGGAGGCGGGCAGGTGCTGCTGAGGGGGAGCAGAGGAGGCGTTCAATGAAAACTGCTGAGGGGGAGCGGAGGAGGCGTGCAGTTGCTGCTGAGAGGGGAGAGAGGAGGCGTGCAGGTGCTGCTGAGGGGGGGGAGAGGATGCGTTTGGATGCTGCTGAGGGGGAGGAGAGGAGGCGTGCAGCTGCTGCTGAGGGGGAGGAGAGGAGGCGGGCATGTGCTGCTGAGGGGGAGCAGAGGAGGCGTTCAATGAAAGCTGCTGAGGGGGAGCGGAGGAGGCGTGCAGTTGCTGCTGAGAGGGGAGAGAGGAGGCGTGCAGGTGCTGCTGAGGGGGGGGAGGGGGTGCGTTCGAATGCTGCTGAGGGGGAGGAGAGGATGCGTGGAGCTGCTGCTGAGGGGGATGAGAGGAGGCGGGCATGTGCTGCTGAGGGGGAGCAGAGGAGGCGTTCAACGAAAGCTGCTGAGGGGGAGCGGAGGAGGCGTGCAGTTGCTGCTGAGAGGGGAGAGAGGATGCGTGCAGGTGCTGCTGAGGGGGGGGAGAGGGTGCGTTCGGATGCTGCTGAGGGGGAGGAGAGGAGGCGTGCAGCTGCTGCTGATGGGGAGCAGAGGAGACGTGCAGGTGCTGCTGAGGGGGGAGAGAGGATGCGTTCATATGCTGCTGAGGGGGAGGAGAGGAGGCGGGCAGGTGCTGCTGAGGGGGAGCGGAGGAGGCGTGCAGGAGCTGCTGAGAGGGGAGAGAGGAACCTGCAGCTCCGTGTACCAAGACCGTCGCGGCACTACTAGAGGCGCGAGACTGGGACGACGCCGCGCCACGAAAACCGTTCGTCGGACCTAGTGCGGCTTCATCGGTGGCAGGCATTTGAGGCGCGGCACCCGTGCGAACTGTGGATGTCGTGGGGGGAGCTGCGGTGGTGCCGAGTCGTACAAAGCGCTGATGGCGGCTGTCCTCCGCTTACCTGCATGAGAACGCGACGTGCAGGGGTTAATACATCGAAGGATTGCTGGATTAGGCCGCATTGAAAACAAGCAGGCGCGCTGACAATGAGAGACAGTCCTCGGATTTTGACGTCATAGACTCACTACGGTACTAGCACCTGCATCTTAGCAAGTCTTTTCTAGACGCGTCAAAGAAGGCTCCATGACGTGCGCGCCTCTCTCTCTCTTCACTATCACATTCGTTTCCCCTGTTGCACTCGTCGGCTGAATACCTGTGTAGCGGCGACCAGCAACGCGCGCGAGTGGCATGCAGGTCGCCGCACCCATCTGCTCTATCTCCTGCTCGCCTTCGTACCCGGTGCCCTCTTCTCCCCCGTTCGACTGTTCCTTCCCGTCATCGTAGGTGATTGTTTTCTCACCGCCGATCATCTACGTCGGTGCTATTTGCAGCTTGCAAATGTAGGACCGCGACTATCTGAGTGCACCAACGTACCAGCTGTTCGTTCCGAGGGGGGCGGTGGCTGAGCGGGTCCTCCCTCCGCGACGTGGCCGGCTACCAATTCTTCCGCCAGGCGTGCTTGCTCTACCCGGGCAGCAATGCGCGAGCTCAACGGCCTACCGGGAGCCGTCCTTGGTGCATTCCCGGCTTCCATCATGAAAAATATGAATAGATGTAGCCACGCTTGCCGAGCCCCCGCGCAGCAACTAATAATCGCGTTGAGAGGAATATTATTGTAACGTAATGTAGGAGTGAAATACGCCGTACTGAGCAGTCGTACAACGGAATATCGCGTGCCAAACTACGTGCAGTTGAGAGCATGGTAAAGTGGAAACGCAAGTCTCGAGTGTGAGTTTGAAATGCCCAATTTCGAATGACAGAAATTACGGTGAGGGCGTACAGCACGGGTTGTTCAACGGGTGTGGAAATTGCACGTTACCCAAATCGCAAAGGCCATTAAACAGTGGTACATCCCGAAATGGCAGAGTTCGCGTACCATGTCCTGACATCTGTTTAAACATATGCTGTGCAAGTAACATCTGCACCGCGCCCTTCAATCACAGCTGGGCATGGCAGGGAGGGAGGCCTATGCCCCAATCGTGTCGCATGCAAAACTCAACCACCCCGCGCATTGTACCATCGTGATCATCCAATCGCGCTGCAATCACGTGACGCCGTCGATAGAGAAGGTCTCCCTCCAGAACGTGTTGCACGCACACCTCAATCACTCCGCGAATGGCATTGTCGTGGCCTTCCATTCACGCTTCATTCGCCTCACGCCGCGGATATTCCGATACAGGAATCTTTTTATTAAAACATGCACGTACATTCACATTGTTTTGTTTATTTAAATTACCTACACGGCTAATACATAGAGAAAGAAATTTGGATCATAAAAAAACGCAACATATGTCACACATACTCGCCACCACCGCAGTGCACTGTACGTATTTGGTTGATCTCACCCTGTAATACTGCCAACCGTCAGCGCACGCCAGTGGCACAGGGCCGCTATGGAGTTCATATGGAGGTATTGGGTGGTACATGGATGATGTGACTTTGAATCTCTGTGCCATGGCCTATCCTGTTTAGTCCGGGCCTGGACTGCAGTAAGCAGGACAATGCTAGAAATACGGATAGTCACAGGCGCCAGGGGTCTTCACAATGTGGGCTGCTCCGGTGAAGCCCTCCGTGTCGTGTTTGTGGTAGAGATGCAGCCTGCATGAGCCTGGCTATCGCACACCCAAAGCCTGTGGAACGGGTCCTGCTGGCTGCCCTTGCCATCCCCTGTGCGAGGCCTTGGAAAGAGGCCTGCCACAGATGGCTTGTTTTATACACAAATGTGACAGAGGCACCGTCTAGTTTCCAGCACGGGCAAATCAGTTTTCGCAAGCTCCCCAAATGCACACACACGGCTACCGCCTTTGTCGAGAATAGGAGGTACTATGCTTGTTTAAAAACAGGGAGCTTCACGACAGGCACGACAGGTTGCTACTGACACCCATTTGCTAATGATATGAATATCGGATGCAGGTCTCGCAGTCGAGCCTCTCCTGGCGTCGACGCCACGCCATCCGCCTGTAGACACACGGACAGGTAACAGCCCATAGTTAGAGACAGCGTGCATGTAATCACTTGATTACCAAAGAACTGAATCAGGCGGTTTGCCAACCCCCCTCTCTCTCCTTCTCCCATTCTCTCTCTCTCTCTCTCTCTCTATCTCTCTCTTCTCTCTCATTCTCTCTCTCTCCCTCTCTCACTCCCTCTCCCTCACATTGCAAAAGTGGATCTAAGTTTCTCTCTCTCTCTCTCACTCCCTCTATCTCCCTCTCTCTCTCCCTCACTCTGTCTATCAACCGCTCTCTCTCACTCTCTCTCCCTCTCTCTCTCATTCCCTAAGTGGTTTTTTGTTTCTGTCTCACTCTCTCTCTCTCACTCACTCTATCTCCCTCTCTCTCTCCCTCTCCCTGTCTATCAACCGCTCGCTCTCTGTATCTCTCCTATTCTCTCTCTCTCTCTCTCTCTCTCTCTCTCTCTCTCTCTCTCTCTCTCTCTCTCTCTCTCTCTCTCTCTCCCTCTCTCACTCCCTCTCCCTCACATTGCAAAAGTGGATCTAAGTTTCTCTCTCTCTCTCTCACTCCCTCTATCTCCCTCTCTCTCTCCCTCACTCTGTCTATCAACCGCTCTCTCTCGCTCTCTCTCCCTCTCTCTCTCATTCCCTAAGTGGTTTTTTGTTTCTGTCTCACTCTCTCTCTCACTCACTCTATCTCCCTCTCTCTCTCCCTCTCCCTGTCTATCAACCGCTCGCTCTCTGTATCTCTCCTATTCTCTCTCTCTCTCTCTCTCTCTCTCTCTCTCTCTCTCTCTCTCTCTCTCTCTCTCTCTCTCTCTCTCTCTCTCTCACTCTCTCTCTCTCTCTCTCTCTCTCTCTCTCTCTCTCTCTCTCTCTCTCTCTCTCTCCCTCTCTCTCTCTCTCTCCTTCGCTCTATCTCTCCCTCTCCCTCTCGCTCTCTTGCTCTCTCTCTCTCTCTCTCTCTCTCTCTCTCTCTCTCTCTCTCTCTCTCTCTCTCTCTCTCTCTCTCTCTGTGTCTCTCTCTTGCTCTCTCTCTTTATCTCTCTCTGTATCTCTCCATCTCTATCTCTCCCTCTATCTCTCTCTCTCTCTCTTTATATCTCTCCCTATCTCTCCCTCTCTCCCTCTCCCTCTCTCACCCTCTCTCTCTCTCCCTCTTCCTCTCATTCCCTTGTTGGTTTTTTGTTTCTGTCTCACTCTTTCTCTCACTCACTCTCTCTCCCTCTCTCTCTCCATCTCTCTGTCTATCAACCGCTCTCTCTCTATCTCTCTATTTCTCTCACTCTATCTCTCTCTCTCTCTCTCTCTCTCTCTCTCTCTCTCTCTCTCTCTCTCTCTCTCTCTCTCTCTCTCTCTCTCTTTCTCTTCATTTTGCTCTTTCTCTCTCTCTCTCCCTCTCTCTCTCTCTCTCTCTCTCTCTCTCTCTCTCTCTCTCTCTCTCTCTCTCTCTCTCTCTCACTCTCTCACTCTCTCTCTATCTCCCTCTCTCGCTCTCTCTAGCTCTTTTTTGTTTCTGTCTCACTCTTTCTCTCACTCACTCTCTCTCCCTCTCTCTCTCCATCTCTCTGTCTATCAACCGCTCTCTCTCTATCTCTCTATTTCTCTCACTCTATCTCTCTCTCTCTCTCTCTCTCTCTCTCTCTCTCTCTCTCTCTCTCTCTCTCTCTCTCTCTCTCTCTCTCTCTCTCTCTCTTTCTCTTCATTTCGCTCTTCTCTCTCTCTCTCTCCCTCTCTCTCTCTCTCTCTCTCTCTCACTCTCTCACTCTCTCTCTATCTCCCTCTCTCGCTCTCTCTAGCTCTTTATTCCTCTCACTCTATCTCTCCCACTCTATCTCTCCCTCTCTCCCTCTCCCTCTCTCTCTCTCTTCCTCTCTCTCTCTGTCCCTCTCTCTTTCTCTCTCTCACTCTCCCTCTCATTATCTCTCTAGCTTCCTCTCTCTCTCCCTCACTCTCTCGCACTCTCTCTCAGTTTATCTTTCTCCCCCTCTCTCGGTTTCTCACTATGTCTAAGGCCCTCACCCTCACACTCTCGGGATCCCACTCAATCTCAGGATCCATCTCGCTCTCTTTGGGATCTCTCCCCCTCTCCATCCCTTCCCTCGGCTCTTTCGCTCTCTAACCCTCGCTCTCTCTCTCTCACTCTCGCTCTTTCTCTCAGTCCCTTTCTCTTTCACATTCTTTCTCTCTATCTCACACTCCATCTCTCTATCTCTCTCTCTCATTCTCTCTTAGGATCTCGCTCTCTCTCGGGATCTCTCTTGTCTCTCGCGATCTTACTCTGACCAAGGCCCTCACACTCTCACTCTCTGTTTCTCACTCACGCTAGGGATCTCACTCTGTTTCAGGATCTCACTCTCTCGATGGAGGAACATGCGACGTGTGCTTACGTCGTTGTCGTACCACGACCTGTGCGGCCAGTTGTGTGTCGCACCTTGCCACACACGCTCCACCCCCCCGTAATATGACGACGGTGGAGGAGGAGACCGCAGCATACGAACCCTGATGGCGGGCCACTGTGGAGAGAATGGAGGGACGTTCAACAGTGGCCGCGGAATGGGCGCGGAGGGGTTAATGCAATATCGCGGCATCGATACGCGATGATACGGGAGCACCTCGTACCACGTACCCTTGTTGCGCGAAGGAGCTGACGGCGGCGGTTGAATGCGTCGTCGTGCGTTTGTCCCGCGCTGGACTCGCACATCTCGTGCCCCGGTGCGCTGCTCCGCCGCCCGCAATGAGGCCTGGGAACCTGACTTCTAGGCGCCTCATGGAGGCAACGATACGGGCCCGACGATACCGAAGAATTCAACTATCTCGGCCACGTCGGCCTCAGTCATGTGGTTTCGACTGCGGATTGTGATGGAGGCCCAAAGGCCAGTGACGTCGCCATCGTCGAGAGTGGGCCTGTTCTCGTCAGCCGAGTTAGGCACAACGGGAGGCACCATTCCGAGGGAGATAGGGAGCTTCTTAAACTAGATACTCGAACGCTGGCGACAACAGTGCAGTAATACGGGGCCCATACCGCTAATGGGAGCGAAGGATACTGCCAGGACGCGGGTGTTAGCTCGAAGGGTGACATATGGTTCGCGTCCTGGGTGCAAAAATGCATGGTGCATCGTGGCGTGGCAAAGTAACACGCGGGCGGGGTGTGGTACTGTAAGATACAGAGCGATATAATGTCACGATCAGCAACTCAGGGCTGTCCCAGCGTCTCACTGTGTTTTGTTTCGAGCACTTCGCATTGGTTGGCTGTTCTGACACACACGGGATTCGGAACCTCAGCCACAAATTATCGGGGCCTCGGATCATACAGTACCATGCATTCATCCTGGTTGTTTCGCGTAACGAATCCGTCAGCCTAGGGCAGGAGCACCGTCTGTTGTTGGTTATGACAGTCGGTTCTTGCCGGCAACAAAATTTCTTGTCGACAGTAATTTGCCGATATATTAGCAGTAGCAAGGCTAAAATCAATCAGTTTTCTAAATCTTCGAGTCTGTTAAAATGGTGCAGGGCAGGTAGTTACTTACTCTAGTTGGCGAGCGCACTGACTCCCAAACAACTGTCTGTATTGTATAGCCCTACAAATGTAGGGTTTCCTTTGTAACCGTCGCAATTGCCTGAATTGTGTGGCTCTTCAATTGAAGGGTTTCTTTTCCAACCATCCAAGTTGCTGCGCGCTGGTAACCGGAACACAACTTGTTGAGCACATGCACGACAGAAACAACGATCGACAGAAGAACACTCGACAACAGAATTGAAGGCCCCGGTCTGTGTTTTTTTACCCACGTACACAAAACACATCTTGTACAAGGTTTTTGTTGTTTTGAACCCAAACATGCGGGTTGCTTTTAGATCAGTCGCTCTGTGGAGAGTATATGGGCAGGCGACTGCACAGATGGGGCTAGGCGAGATCTACGTGGGAGTAAAACTTACCTGGATAGGAGCGACTCGAGATCCAACCGCCCATGATCTGGCGGCACGTCTGACAGCTCGAACGCCGAGCTTCACGATTTCCAGAGCCTGTTGGTCAGAGGCTGATAGACTCCAGAACGTGCTTGGTCACGCACTATTTTGGGAGGCATGGCCCTATGCAGTCACTCCGCCCCTGCTGTCTAGATCCCCAGGTGGATTCAGCCAGACAACGGCATGCATGTGCTGTCTGTTGCACCCCACGGCGAGCAGCAGCAACAGCAGCTGCAGCACATCGGCAGCATCAGCAGCAAATTATTTTGTCTTGTTGTGCCTATCTGACGTCAGGCACAACCTGATTGTTGTGTCCACCTGACAGCCTTGTTGTATGATGTCCAAGGGACGATCCATCCCAGCTTTCCACAGATCCACATTTCGGTGGAAACCACCACTCTGAAAATGAGCACTGCGATGAGCAAAACACCCAGCTCGCCATAGGACGTGGAGGGCTGTTCAGTGCAGCACGCAGTCCTCACACTCCATCCCAGCGCCCTCAATCAGATGGTCGCCACGCCCGCCATGCCGCTTGATCCCACTCCTACCTGTAAGTTTGAGCGCAGTTTAAGCCTCTGGAAATTCGTCATCTGGTAATCTCCTCTCCCCAGACTCAGACCAGGTGAGAGAGGCTTGTGTGCGCATTCAACTACGCTCCTTCCGCTTCGCCCCCTACGGTCCGAATGCATCACACGGTGCGCCACGTAGTATCTTGTTCCTTGGCGTCCTGCCCTCCCCCGTGTT